CCGCGGCTATTAGCCGGCCGAGACGCCTGCGAAACCGTTTTCAATTGTGCTCCGACTGAGCAAGGAAGGAAACTTGCTGCGCGTCTACTATTCCCAGTGCTGGCTCCTGGAGCTTGCAAATCTCCGGTGGACCCTGCGTCACGGTGGGTCTAACGCTTTTTGTCGCGCTAGATTTCCTAACCTTACTCTGACATACCCATGGGTGCTGTAGTATGATGGAATTTAGAATTAGGGTCATACTCATTGGGAGGGGGGGGGTCTAAAAAACACGTATGTGCAACAGCTGAGGACTCTTAACATTTATTACCTGGGGACACTTTAGAAATCAGCAGCAAAAGATAGTAAGAACATAGGCAAGAGAAGCAAAAGTGGTAGAAGAGGAAGAAGAAGAAGAAGAAGAAGAAGAAAAGGAAGAAGAATAAGAAGAAGAAGAGTAAAAAAAGAAAAGGAATAAGAATAAGACGATGATAGAGAAGAGGAGGAATTCAGTTCGGAACAGTGGCGGAAAATGAACAAATTATCAATCAATCAAAAATTCTAAACTAAGGATTGGAGGGAACTATTGTGATCTAAAAAAATGAACTATCTGAATATTAATGTGTTAAGCGCCAAATAATAGAATTTGAACCTCTTAATCCGGTTGGACTGATAGAATAATAAACTATTGAATAAATCTTTATTGTAAACCAATCAGATTAATACATATAACTGATACACCAAGTGTATGTTGAGCTACAGTGGTATGCAAATAAAATGGATGTACAGCACGAACTAGTGCGTAGCATCAATTTCCTTTGTGTGAAGAAGCAACTAGGGTTGGCTGAAGTAAGTGCTAAATTTTTTGTCACACAAAAGAAACATAAACTTTCGACTGATCGAAGTCTGCAGATTGTCCATTGGACCAAAGACAATGCATGCAGACACGTAATGGAGGAGAGGGTAACGTAAAAAGGCGCCGGGCCGCGGTTGGCACGCGAAAAACTATGTGGAAAATGCTCTGAACGGTAGGCTAGATCGGAAGATAGGTGTAAATGTGGAGGAAGAGACCAAAAACCGCATGCCGCGGCCTGTGGGGTGGTCGCCGTGCTCGTCCGCTCAGAGACTTTAACGCAGGGACAGGAAAAGTAACTTGTCAATCACAACGCTGCACGCGCATGAGTCCTTCGATTAAGGGGCGTGCACTACGTTGCCATATATATCATTAAATTGACTCTTTTTGGTTTATATGACCATCAGCAAGACATCATCAAGACAGTGCATGGATCAAAGATTTTCCTAGGGAGGAATGTCTCTTAACATAAATCGTAAAATCAGAATTTTAGTCGGAAAATATGCCAAAGTTCCAAAGCATGAGATGAGAGGGGTCTAGTTCCTTTTTGTATCAATTGAGATCAATTTGTCACATTTAAATCCAAAATTTTGAGCTCCGAGAGCGGAAACTCCCAAACCACATATCTCGTTCGCGGTGTCTACAAGTCGCCTTTCCTATTTTTTTTTTTTTTTTTTTTTTTTTTTTTTTTTTTTTTTTTTTTTTTTTTTTTTTTAAGGAAAACAAATTGACATTATTCCTTGAAGTTTTATTCAAGATGTTCTTCGCATAGAGAAGAAAAATCACGGTAACATTTGAAAATTAACGTTGTGTGGTTCTCCATTAAAAAGATAAAGTATCTCAAGAAGTCCCCAACGTCGTAAACCGAGATTATGGGTTTGGGAATTTCACCGTCGACTTTTCTTAAAATATCGTACTTGAACTCATGAGTTCAAACTATCCTAACTCCGATTTAGTTAAATGGTATTAGGACATTTTGGCCACCGAAAAGTTCGTAAAACACTCTGCCATATTTTCTTACCAAAAAATTGAACGATTCGGCCGCCTGACGCGGAAAACCGCGTCTTTTTGAACTCCATCCTATCCATGCATTCGGGCTAAGACGTTCAAGAGAAGGCGTGCTACACGGTTTGTAGGAAGGGCGGCCGACCATAATTCTATTATTTCCTTTTTTAATCATCGTCCAATACGCCGCTCTAATCACTAACCCATCCATGACGGTGTTCTTGATTGATCTCACTAATAGTTTCTCGGCAAATTAATGAACTCAGTCGAGCGAAGCGCAGGATTGGTTTCGTTGCGTACATTCATCGGATTCATCACCACATATGATGTAAATTTTGCTCCTTAGTCTAAAAAGATTAGGGGGTCGTTCATAAAACACGTAGCGATACTTTTTGGAGTTTTTCAACCCCCTCAATTACCCCTGTTTTTGCTTTTTTGGCGCAGTTCCTATATCTTTCAACATGCACGTAAAAGCCGCTCGACCAATCTTATCTATCCCAACCCCCTATAGCGTTTTACGTTATGAATTGCCCCTGGGAAATTTACAAAACTCAAAGGATTCCACAAAATATTTATGGTATATATGACTTAAACTGTAGTGGTTCAAAATTATTTGTCACATGATCGTGTCGAGAAAACGAATATGAGGAGAAAAGGAGGAAAGAGAAAAAGAGGAAGAAAATGTGTTCTCCTCCTACGGATCCCTGCTGCTCTATCCCACTACAATCATTCAACAATACTAACCTTTTTATTTAGAATTTTTTGAAGTTAATTCAAGTTATTCCGATGCAACCCGGATTTTTAAGCAAGAAGGAGGTGTATTTATCAAATTCGTGATGATTGCAAGGTTATACGTGCTGAAGCCAATTTTCATTTATTCAGCATCACTATTGAACTATTCTCAGTGAGGGTAGGGTAAATAAAATCTATGGCAGGCGTCACAATGCATGTCTTGGAGAAAAAAATCAGAATGATGAAGTGAAAACCGCTCTGAGTATGAGACTCAGCGTCGACACCCAACCAAAATCGATACCTCTAATGATAGAGCGGAGTGTCTTTCAAAGTTCGATCCAAGATCCTGTATGCCGTTTGATGATATTGAAATATATCGATCCGGTCCTCTTCGAGTAAAGAAATCGCTTACGTAAACCGGCTCCGAGGCAGACCTCGATCACATATTGATAACCGTGACATCAACTATTTTATCGTACGTGAGGAAAATCAATGTTTAACCGTGCACTCTCGCGTCACCCATAGCTCATTTTCCCTCCGACATGAGTGTCAGAGGATGGATTTTCGGACGGGTGTAAATGTGAGGACCTGTGGAAAATTGGATTTTCAGTTACAACCATGAAACCACGGTACTTAGCGGGTCTATCGATAATCTGACATCTATGAGGCCATGACTTTGCCGTATTTTCCTTTTTCCGTCTCTCCATACTAGCACTCACGAAATGGTCAAAAGATGAAGTATGTGGCCATAAGATTCATAGATGAGGGTAAACTTGCCCAGAATATAATGAAATAAAATCCCGTGTTGTCAATGAAGCTTATTGTCAAGAGAAAAATTATAATGCGGTGAAGTAAAAATTTGGAAGTTTGGAAGTACTCGTATTTTACGGTGTACTTCAAATTATTGATACCACTTGATCAATTTGATGATTTTGCCTCACGATTGCCTCATTAATTTGCCTCACGTATTTATTCTCTGTCCAGACGTCATACGTATTGTATTCCTGATACCTGGAGTTTCATTTTGTCTCCAAGACAAAAATCTAAAAATTAGCTCATATTGTTACAAATATAATTTTTTTTACAATATTTATTTCCTCGTAAAAACTATTCAAACTAGAAAGTCGGATAGCCTTTTCTTTTGAAAAATCTGTCTTCAAAGTTTCCAGTTTGGGAAGAAATATTAGGTTAATATGGACGATTAAATGAATTGACATTTAACTGATTCTATATTCAAACAATAAAAGCATAAAAATAAGTCGTGTTTCATGTGTGTGAATTTTGAAAATTCGTAAAATATAGATAAGATAAACTATCCAGTGGATTTTTTTTCTTCATTTTAAATTAATCGTGATGCAGCATTGAATCCGTCAAGAGATTGCGATATTTAGTGAAAACAAATAGAAGTTAATGAGTGATGTTTTGGTGTTCGTGATTCTGTGTAATTGAAGGAAGAATTTATCTTGAACTTTTAAATCTTCCATTAACCTAGACAGGATTCAAATAAAGTAATTTTCTCTATTCATTCATTTTCATAGATTTTACTGGCGTTCAAAACAGGTGCGTTAACGGGTTTCGCGCAACGTCCAACCTTCTCCCCGAGTGCTCTTTTGTCGCTTTTTCTTGCTCGTCGTTCTTAGCGCGAATTAAATATTCACGGCTGTCAATTTAATGGGAATTATCCGCTGGGCCGCGGGCACTCCACGTCGTGACATCTTTATTATTATGTTAAGTGTTTTCATTATACTATTAAACGATCCTTTCCAATAAACAAGGACCTTCGGAATAAAACGCAGATTATCAAGCCATGCTCGTGTCATCGCTTTGATTGGGATTCGTTCTATGATTTGCACGAGGAACTAATTATTTTGCAGTAAACTATTTTCTTCTTCAAATTGTCAGATTCTCTGCAATACTCAATTTTCAACTTATTTCTCAAACTTAAGCTTTTAAGGATCTCAGGATATCAGGAGCCAAACGGTACGAATCAAATACTCGGTGTTTACGTGCGGGTACTCCAAACAATTACTCCTTTAATTAAAGTAGCAATGCGGACACATCACACACAAATATATAAAAGCTTTTAATAAAAGCTTTTAATAAGTGCAGTCTGGCACATCTCTAAAAGTGCGAGCACATAATCTAATAGAGGAAAAAAAAATCTAAATAAGCACATTATTTCATTATAAAAAGTGACCATTTTTTATTAAGCAAGCATTATATTACCAAGAGCTCAATCTTCCTACCTCATTCATAGTAGAAAATTTTAATCTAATTTTACTCCTTCAATTAGGAAAACTGGTTTTAACATCATCGAAGTTTGTCTTGTTTATGATTAGATCTTAGTTTTTCAAAGATGGTCATCACTTATTTAATATTGAGTTGTTCGTCCAATGATAACTGTTTTATGAATTTTATCTTCTTTCTGTTTCAGGCTGTAAAAGTTTTTTTAAAAGAAGTGTTCGAAGGAATTTGACGTATTCGTGTAGAGGGAGTAGGAGTTGTCCGATAGATCAACATCATAGGAATCAATGTCAATATTGTCGACTAAAAAAGTGTCTCAAGTCCGGAATGCGTAGGGAAGGTAAGTCATCACTGTAGCAACATTCTTCTTTATTCATTCACCTCTCTTCTTTTTTTTCTTCCGTCATTCATCAGTTTTCCTCTGGAGCTCTTCATTTGAGATTTGTTGCAATAAAAAACTCTTGGTATACATTCTACATGTATTTCCAGTGTTGACTGGATCGGGAATGAATGAAATCCGATGTGCTCCATTGATTAATGAATGCTGCAAATGCGTTACTGCAATGTTGTTGAACGCTATAAAAATAATCAACAATAAATAATCGACGATTTATTGATAAAAAAGAGGGTCAAATGTTTGAAATTCGAATTAATTTGATAGCTCTTCAACTTTGATCTAGTGATAAAAAAAGGCAATATCAAATAACAGCAGAAATTAGAGATTACTCGGAAATCATGATGAGTATACTATCTAAAGTATTCACGGGAAACAATATGATGACACATTAAATTTTATGTTATGGAAACACAATGTTGCCAGGAAATGTCATTATTCTAATGTATACTTATTAAAATTCGTGGAAATGCCAAAATAAAGTGTATTTGCATCGAATTGTGCATTGACAAAACTTAAATTAAAATATCAAAACAAAATTCGAAGAATACACAATTTCCATATTTTAATTTTTATTAAATCTAAGTTTGACTGTCATAATAACAGGCAATGGTTTAACACTTCTATTTTGATGAAATCTCAGTGGCTACTCTGTAAGGATTTATGAATAGCGATACTATTAGCTGATTCTAAAGATGGTAAAAACTTATCCGGTGCCTCCTCTGCAACTTTCGCCAAAAATTAATTCGCACACATTTAGTTGGACAGGAGCAAATAATTTCCATCATTCTCGACTTTTCCCGGTAGAGCGGCGCGGGCTGGCTCTCCTTCAAAGCTGTATCCGTTCGGTTTGTGGAACGTGAGAAAAAGCGAGATTCTCGTGGATGCTCCTCCATGAGCGCACCACGCAGCGTTGGTCGCATCTCTCGCGGCTTGTCCATACATCTAAACGCGCACCCTCATTCATAACATAAAGCTTCCTGTTGCCAAGTTTAAACCACTGTCCCAAAGTGAGCAGCTTAAAGATCGAGGACGTTCAACACGCACAGCTGAGTTTTAGTCTCCTAAATATAATTAAATTCGCAATATTGCGATATCACACTAAAAAAACAAGATTGTTTTAAAAATGCTCCATTCTTAACTCCAAGAGACGAATTTTTAGGGAATCATTGACACATGTTTTGGTATCAGTTTTAGAGCTTAAGGGTATGCCTTGTTCATGATTTCAAGAAAAGTTTGTTATTTTCAGTTCCAACGGTTCTAATAAGGAATTATTGTGTGTAAAAATATTATTCTAAAACCCTTCTTTTTAAGAACACTTCCTAATGGTGAAAAAATATTTAATACTAATTTTGAGATGCATTTCAAAATTATTTTCTAATAATTTTCATAGAGGAACGCGACTTTAAAACTTGGGTCATTGGATGATATGGACATTTCTAATTAATTGTGCTGGTGCCCCCAATAAATTAGGTTTTTAACCCTAATGTTGCGGTTCTATCACAATCAATTAAAAATGTCCATATCATCCAACATTTTTTTTTTTTTTTTTTTTTTGTTCTGCGGCACCCAAGGTGGTTTCCAGAACCAAATTGGGGTAGCACCACAATTTTAGGAGATAACCCTAATACTTTTTTTTCCGTGAGCTGTTCAAAATCAGAATTGCGTCCTAACGAAGTCTCGAAAAGCCGCGTTTCCGGCAAACTCGGCAGCCCGGCGCGAGTTTTTCTAGCAATCCGCGCAAAAGTTGACGAACGAGAAGTTCTGGACGAGGCGCAGCGGACGGAGTCTGGAACGGCGCCCGCTTCCTTTCGTCCTGGCCTTTGCGCGCGATAAACGACGCTCCGCAAATGAGGCCCGACGCGCGGGTCCAAAGGTCGTGCCGATAATTAATTAGCACCGACGACTTTATTTTAATTAGCGCCTTGACACCGCCAACAACTCACCGGACTGACTTTGGCAACTTCGCCCGGTCGCCGGGACCCGGTCCGCTCGGTCCTCGGTTTCGGACGTCTGGAGTCTGGAGGAACCGACCCTGACCGCCCTCGTCCGCTAACGACCCGGCTGGACGGCCACTGATCGATGCATATCGTTTCTTAGGGAGAGTTTCTATGAGCGAGAGTGTTTGATCAAATGTCATCCAGCATGAGAAAGAGTGATTAACCGAGATCAAAAGAGTGGAGACCAGTTGATTGGGTCAGTTGCGACTGTTGTAGAATCATGTTCGCACATGGTTAAAATCGTCCGTTTTCTGGTTACGGATCAATCCACCGGATTAATTATTTAATTTGATAGACACACCAATGGACAAGGAAGAAAAATGGAAATTGAAGCGATCCTATTGGTTGGATTGGGCAATTGCCATCCACCAAGGGAAATGATTGACTAACTGTAGGGTCCCTCGTGGGCCACCGTTAGTTAGTTCCTACTTACCTCCTTTGTCGACTGCAACCCCCCACTTCCACTAGTAGGATTGTTCCATTTTCTCTTTGACCATCGCTTTGTCTATCAATTTCCATAACCAGCCCGCAGGTTAGATAAACCGAAACGATTTGGTGAAATCAACTAAAATCTACTTCGAGACATCTCTGGATAAATCGAGTTTTCCACTCATTTCCGTTGTATTGGTGGCAAGCGCGTAGGATTATCAACCGGTTGGTCCGGGTTCGATCCTTGCTATCTATGCCTTGGTTTTAATGGAGGTTGTTTATTCAATCAAACGATTTTGTCAACTTGACAAAGAAAGCTGGTCAATTTAACCAAATGGAATGCTAACAACAACAGCAAATTAATCAGAAACGGTTACTGTAGTTTTCCTCCCATATTGCCGCGCCGAATGTTGGTTATATACATTTTCTCTTAGTGTCGTTGTGCTTAAAGATTCAAATGATATCGGAGGTGGATCGTAAAGTTTATCCAATGTTAATGGATCCTTTACTAAGGCCTCAACTTTAACAGCCTGAGCTCGGGTGTGGATTTTAGTCAAAACCAAGAGCCCAATCATGTCTATGGCAAAATACCACAAGTGGAAATCGTTTTTCAGACGGAAAATCGTCGGCACTCGCAGAGGTATTATACGATGTTATTTTTTCATAGATGTGCGCATGCGGAAGACATTAAAACCCTCTCAATCCCCGTCCCGGTGCGTAACGTCCATTATTCGAGGAATACCCGCTCCGCTGACGCAATCACACAGAACAATAAGGAGAGCCACTGGAGTAGAAGAATTCTTTCTCTCGGCGATAAAAAATTCAGGAAAAAAGTGGAGGTGTCATGAAGCGAGTCTCGGAAAAAAACGGGACGTCAATGCTGATGAGGACGATGGACATCGGTCATTGGGCATCCGCAACGCATCGTGAACACTTTTTTCCCGGGGTTTCCCCGCTTTTCCCTCCGCCCCCCTCCGTCTTCATTAAGAACTTTAAAGTTAACGAGATGCTTACCCCCCCACCCTCTCACCCCCATATCTACGTGCTGTCTCGCTCGAGAGCATTCGCGCTTGCTGTCTCACTCCAAAAAACGTGTCCACGTGGGGCATGTATCTCCTCGCGCCGCTGTTGCCAGATTGAACCACATTTTCCACTGGGAACTACAATTTCAGCTTATTTTAGAAACAACGTATGTGGTAGCGTTCCTGTGTGGAGTAAGGCTGTCGCTCCTCGTTGCAAAATGAAGTCTAACTGAAAAGCGGTAAACAAACCATTTGTATCTACATTGAGAGATTCGAAAAAAGTGACCAACCCAAAACCCACGTGAAATAGTGTATGATTCCTAGCAAGAGTATGCCGGAAAAGGAACGCAATTGGATTCGTAAGAAAAAGAGGATTAGGAGAGAAAGAAAGGAGGAAGGAGAGAAAGAGAGAAGGAAAAAGAGAAAGAAAGAAGGAGGAAGAGAAAGAAGAGAGAGGAGAAGAACGAGAGGAAATAGAAGAAGAATTTGGCGAAGAAGAGAAGAGAAGAGGAAAAGTATGATATAGGAGAAAAAGGAGGAAGAGGATCATAGGAAAAGTACAAAATAAGAAGGCAAAAGATAAGAGTATACGTTTTTTCTGTTCCTTGTTTCCTCTACTTCATCTGCTATTTTCTGTGCAATGCTACTTTATTCAGCCTCTTCAAGTATTTTTTCTTTTTCATATAGAATTAAACTTGTTTTTTGCAGATCTGGCAACCTGCCACCGTGACGGCTCACGGCTCGTACCGCTCTTTTCTACAACTTGATCTTTATTCATTCGTATAAATCAATTAACTCGCCTACAACTTTTTTGCCGTCTTTTTCATTCAGCTATGTAATTAATATATTTCATTTGTAGCACTCGTTTTAACGGACATACCTCATCCTCCTATTCCGTGTCTCTCCTTCCTCTTTGCACATCTCTGTTCTTTTATTTGCCTATAATCAGGCGTTGAGTTCCCTTGAGGCAACGTTTAATGTAATCTTGAATAGAATCAAATACAAAATGTTACCATGGGTGGTTTCACTTTAGAATCTTAAATTTTCAACGGGGCCATATTAAGACAAACACCTATAAATCCGGTCAAAGTACGGCGTCGGCGCTTGCGATGAATGGGAAAATCGTAAGGAATGTGCTGTGTAATCCTTAGACATTACTTAATGGGATCTTAGGAAGGGTTCATCTCCACATCACCTTATATGAGCACGGAAAAAAGAGGTTGGGGTTAAGCCCAAACTTGATTATAGAGAGCCTAAAATTGTGGGAGCTACCCCAATAAATTAGGTTGATAACCCAACTGTTGTGGTGCTACCCCCTAACTCGAGTTGCGGTACTATCACAATTATTTTAAAACGCTTATATCATTCAACAAATCGGGGTAGTACCACAATTTTAGGGGATTGCCCCTAAAATAAGTTTCTCTGCAAACAAGATTCTTAGCCGCAGTAATTCCTGATTGTTCTCGCAAAACCAATTAGTGATTTTCAGATGTAG